AGGAGGCATACAAACTGGGTTAGGTCTTAGCACAGCCAGGCGCAAGTGTCGCAGCTAGCTAAGCATAGGGTCCCTTATTTTTATAGCTGCACCTAATGTTAGCTTTGGGGGAAAAAGTTTAGGGCTATAATTTTTAAACTTTAATTTTATTTGGGGCAAAGGTGACTTCTTGTTTTTAATAGTGTTAGCTTAAGTCACTCTATCTTGGTTTGATTTTTAAGGTTCTTCAAAAACTGTAAAGACAATACTCAGCTTATGAGCCTTGTAAAAACATGCTGCAGGTCAACTGTCGCGTACAAACCATAGACTGCAAGCCCCTGAAGTGTGCGAGTTGCAAATATTTTCTCCAGGTTGGTAGCTTGTCTTTTCTTGTTGATGTTTTTCAAAGAATGTGTTGAACAGACTTTAAGGTGGCTTTCACAACCCTGCCTCCTGGTATTGATGTTAATATAATCCCTCCCCTTGAGTGTTTTGCAAACTGATTTGCTTCTGACCAATGGGAAGCTAAGGTGATTCTAGATACATGATTACGAAAGAGTATAGCGCAATCTTGTGCTGTCTCTTGTTCTTCTGTTGTTACATGATTACAAGAGTATAGCATGATCTTGTGCTCTCTGTCTCTTGCTCTTCTATTGGACTTTCTCTTTCCTTCCATGAAGAAACAGGACACCTGGAATCCTGAACTCTCAGATGACTGAATGTTGTCAACAATCCTGCAATTGGCGAAATGGATCATCCCTAGTTGAGTCTTATATGAGGTCTCAGCCCTGTTGATATCTTCCTTGTAGCCTCCTATAACCCTAAGTAGAGAATCCAACTGAGCTATGCTCTGATTTCTGACTCACAGAAATTATAGTGAAAGATGTATGTGTCATTTTAAGCAACCAATCTGGTGGTAAACTGTTATGCAGTACAGAAAACAACAGAAAGAGCAAACATCTTTAAATTTACTTTATTGCCTTTTTTCTTTGGTAGTCAGATTGAAGAAATCTTCGCCTGAAAATCACAAAGGAATTTTTTAGTGCTTTCTTATAGATGTCTTACAGTTTTAGTTCCTAAATTTAGATGTTTCAACAATTTTTAGTCAATTTTAATGTGTGAGATGAGCCTAAGTTCATTTTTCACAGATGAATAGATATCTGCAATAGAACTGTTGGAAAGAGTCTGCTTCTCTCCTCACTCTCACCTCCCCTGGATTCTACTGCCTGGGTACCTTTGCTGAGAAATCAGTTGAACATAAATGCAAAGGTTTATTTCTGTACTGTCCATTCAGGTTCACTGATTCCTCTGTAAATTCATACCTAAGTACTCCACTATGTTCCTAACTGTGGATTTTATACTGTTTCATAATTGGGTATTCCAAGTCCTCCAAGTTTGTTCTTTTTACAAAACTGTATTGACTACCCTAGGTTTTTTGTGCTTCCACATAATTTTAGGAGCAGTTTTTCAATTTGTACAAAAAAAACAACAACAACAACAACAACAAAAAAAAACACCACTAAAGCCTGCAAATCAGATTGTGTGGAATCTAAAGAATATTGTCCTCTTCACAGTATTGAGCTTTTCATGCTCAGAACATAAAATGCCTCTCCTTGTAGTTAAATCTTAATTAATTTCACCTGTGCTCTGTAGTTTACTGTGCAGACGACTTGCACTACATTTATTCCTAAGTATTTTATTCTTTTTGATATTAGTAGAAATGGAATTTTCTTTTTTAAAAAAATATTTATTTGAAAGAGCTACAGAGACAGAAGGAGAAACAGGGAGAGGTCTTCCATTACCTGGATCACTCCCCCAGATGTCTGGAACAGCTAAGGCTGGGCCAGGCTGAAGCCAGGAGCTGCTTCCAGATTTCCCACATGGGTGGAAGGGGCCCAAGCCATCTTCTGCTACTTCTCCCAAGCCATTAGCAGGGAGATGGGTCTGAAGTGGAGCAGCTAGCCAATATCCATATGGTATGCCACATTGCAAGAGGTGGCTTTACCCGCTATGCCACAATGCTGGCGCCAGAATTTTATTTTCAAACATTTCATTGTTTGAAACATGTTTTTGCGTATTCATTTTATATCCTATGACTTTCTTGAACTCATTTATTAGATCTGGTTTTCTGTTGTTTTGAGATTCCTTAAGAGCTTCTATGTTCCAGGATCATATTTTCTTCAAAGAAGTTAATTTTATTTATTCCTATTTAATCTATAAGTTTTAATTTTTTTGTCTTATTCTACGGGCTAAGGTCTCTAGTACAAAATTGCACAGATGGATAATAGTAGGTATTTTTGTTCTATTCCTGTTCTTAAAGATAAAACATAAAGTCTTTATAACAATTAGTATGGTGTTATTTGATGGCTTTTGTAGATGCCCCTTATCATTTTGAGGAAGTTCTCTGATATAGCCAATTTATTAAGAGTTTTACCATTCATGGGTGCTAGATATTTTTCAAATGTTTTTAATGTGTTTTCTGAGATGCCCAGGTGATTTTAATCCTTTGTCCTATCAACATGATATATTATATTGGTTTATTTTCAGATGTTACAACAACTTCACCTTTCAGGGATAAGTCCTACTTGGTCATGATACACATTTTTTATGTCACTGGATTTTATTTCCTAGGGTTTTCTGCATATATGTGTGTTTGTGTGTGTGCTTTTGCATCAATATTCAAGAGGCATTGATCTGTAATTTTCTTTTCATTGGGTATCTTCATGAGACTTCGGCATCAGAAGGATACTAGCTTGTAGCATTGGGAAGTACCTCCCGTTATTGTTTTCTGGCAGAACAAGTGAAGGGTGGGTATTACTTTTTATATAACTATTTTTTTCCATTGAGCTTTTATTTGTATGTCTGTGTTACATCCCCAGAAAAAGAATCCCAGGATTTTCCCTCCCAGGATTTTTGTCATGCTTCTTCATGGTCCATGATGCCAACTGAGGTTGTCAGCACAATGAAACCAAACTGGCGGGATGGAAGCAGATTATTCTGCCATTTTTCTATGTCTTCCTGGTTCAGTTTAGGTAGGTTGCATGTGTCCAGGAATATAACAATTTCTGATAGGTTTCCCTTTTTGCTGTCATACAAGTCCTTGTAGTAATTTCTGATGATTCTTTTTATTTCTGTGGTGTCTGTTGTTACATTTCCTTTTTCATCTCTGATTTTATTGATTTGGGTCTTTTCTCTTCTTTTTTTAGTTAGTTGGGCCAATGGGGTGTCAATTTTGTTTATTTTTTCAAACAACAGCTCCTCGTTTGGCTGATTTTTTGTAATGTTTTTTTATTCAATCCTGTTGATTTCTTCTCTGATTTTAATTATTTCTCTTCTCCTACTAGATTTGGGTCTGGTTTGCTGCAGATTTTCTAGATCCTTGAGATGCATTGAAAGCTCATCTATTTGGTGCCTTTCCAATTTCTTGATGTAGGCACCTATTGATATAAACTTTCCTCTTAACACTGCTTTTGCTGCATCCCATAAGTTTTGGTATGTTGTGCTGTTATCCTCATTTACTTCCAGAAAATTTTTTATTTCTCTTTTAATTTCTTCTATGACCCATTGTTCATTCAGGAGCATGTTGTTCAATCTCCATGTGTTTGCATATGCTCTAGGGATTCCTGAGTTGCTAATTTCCAACTTCATTCCTTTATGGTCTGAGAAGCTGCATGGTATGATTCTAATTCTTTTGAATTTGCTGAGACTTGCTTTATGGCCTTGTATGTGGTCAATCCTAGAGAAGGTTCCATGTACTGCTGAGAAGAATGTAAATGCTTTCTGTGTAGGATGAAAAGTTCTGTAGATATCTGTTAGATCCATTTGGGCTATAGTGTCGTTTAAATCTACTGTCTCCTTGTTGATCTTCTGTCCTGTTGATCTGTCTATTTCTGAGAGTGGAGTATTGAAGTCCCCCAGTACTATTGTATTGGGGTCTAAGTCTCCCTTTAAGTCCCTTAACAAATCTTTTAGATAAACCGGTGCCCTGTAGTTAGGTGCATATACATTGATAATTGTTATATCTTCTTGTTGTATTGATCCCTTAATCATTATGTAGTGTCCCTCTTTGTCTCTCTTAACAGTTTTTGTGGTAAAGTTTATGTTGTCCAATATTAAGATGGCTACGCCTGCTCTTTTTCCATTTCTGTTGGCATGGTATATCTTTTTCCAGCCTTTCACTTTCAGTCTGTATGGATCTTTGTTGGAAAGATGTGTTTCTTGTAAGCAGCAAATAGATGGGTTTTGTTCCTTAACCCAATCAGCCAATCTGTGTCTTTTAACTGGACAGTTCAGGCCATTAACGTTCAATGTGACTAATGATAAGTGGTAACTTTGCCCTGCCATTTGCCAAAGATAAGTTCTAATATATGCTTTGAATTCCCTGTGATCTTTTGCTGTGAGGTTTCCTTCATTCACCTTCTTTCATATTGATGACCGTGTTTCTGTGTTTCTGTGTGTAACACATCTTTAAGCATCTTTTGCAGGGCTGGACGAGTGGCAACAAATTCTTTCAATTTCTGTTTGCTGTGAAAGGTCTTTATTTCACCTTCATTCACAAATGATAGCTTTGCAGGATATAATATTCTGGGCTGGCAGTTTTTCTCTCTTAGTACCTGGGCTATATCTCGCCATTCCCTCCTAGCTTGTAGGGTTTCTGATGAGAAGTCAGCTGTGAGTCTGATTGGAGATCTTCTGAGAGTAATCTGACGTTTCTCTCTTGCACATTTTAGGATCTTTTCTTTATGTTTCACTGTGGTGAATTTAATTACAAGGGTCGTGGTGAGGATCTCTTTTGGTCATGTTTATTAGGGGTTCTGTGAGCTTCCTGTACTAGGATGTCTCTGTCCTTCTCCAAACCTTGGAAATTTTCTGTTAATATCTCACTAAAAAGGCCTTCTAATCCTTTCTCCCTCTCCATGCCTTCAGGAACTCCTAGAACCCGAATGTTGGGTTTTTTAATGGTATCCTGAAGATTCCCAGCAATATTTTTTAGATTTCTAATTTCCTCTTCTTTTCTTTGGTTTGACTGTACTTTCTCCTGTTCTCTGTCTTCTACGTCTGATATTCTCTCTTCTGCTTCACTCATTCTGTTTTTAAGGCTCTCTAATGTGTTTGTCATTTGATCTATTGAATTCTTCATTTCATCATGATTTCTCGTCACTATCACAGTTTCCTGTTGTACTAGTTGTTTCGTTTCATTTTGACTCTTCCTTAATATTTCATTTTCACGAGAGAGATTTTCTATCTTGTCATTAAGGATTTCTGTAGTTCAAGAATTTGTTTTTGAGAACTTCTTAATGTTCTTATCAATTTTTTGAGATCTGCTTCTTGCATTTCTTCTATGTCATCATCTTCCTAATCTTGAATTGGGGTGTCTATTTCATTTGTGGGCGTCATAGTGTCTTCCTTGTTCTTGTTACCTCGGTTTCTGCGTTTGTTGTTTGGCATATTGGAGATATTCTTTGGTTTCTTCGGTGTGGTGTTTTTTCTCATTATACTGTGACTCTAGATTAAGTGGACTGTCTGCTTTTGATGGATCCTTAGAGGCTGTGATGGGTGTGGCCAGAGAGCTCTGTTTGGTTCTTCAGGGTTAAGGGTGTGCCAAAGGTGACTCACCCAGATTGTTCTCTAGCTCACTCTTTTTGTTTGTTTGTTTGGTTGGTTGGTTTTTTGTTTTGTTTTGTTTTGTTTTGTTTTTTTTACTCAGTTGGGAAGTAATTCCACACAGCTGAGTGGAATTGAGGGTAGTTGATGTATGAAATCTGGCCCCTGTGGGTATTCGTCTGCTCTACCCCTGGGACCACACAAAGAGTTTATGCAGCCCTCAGTGTGGTCTCAAATTTCTCTGAAGTCTCTCACCAGGTTGCCAAGGTTACTGAGTTTGTGTACTTGGTGAGTTCTCTCGCCCTCCCTCAGATTTTCACAGTCTCAGTTCGTTAGCTCCACACTTTCACTAGGTCTTAACCTCTTGTTATGTCTCCCCACCAGAGTCAGGTTTTTCTGCTTGGCTAATGGCAGGCGCTGCTTTACATACGTAAAATGGCGCCTGCTTTTTGTCTTGCTCAGCTTTGTAACGTGAGTGGAGAGAGAGGCTAATGTCCGTGCCGGTTCCCCTTATCTATTTGTTTTTTTCTCTCCTCTAGTCAGCCTGGTGAACTTGCCCAGCGGGGCTTCAGGCCTCATTCCCTCTAGGCTCTTTCTGCCTTTCCCCGCCAATGTCTTGGGTTACCGGGGTTTTTGTCTCGCCTCCCCTTCCAGCGCTGGCACGCAGACTCTGCGGCTCGGCTTCTGCGGCGGCTTGGCTCAGCTTCCAAGTGGTGGGCGACCTTGCTCTCCCCGTAGGTTCTTCATGTCACATCCACTAGATCCGGAGGAGTTTCCTCTGCAATTTTTTCCTGAGCCTTTTCCTGAGGCTACAGTAACTCCACTTTTATTAAACTATCTTTTCCCGGACTATCAGTGCGCGCCCTCACTATTCCGCCATCTTGGCTCCACCCCTATTCTGCCATTTTTCTAGATCTTTCAACTGCACGTCAAATCTGGGGCTGATCACTCCACACTTGTTTAACCTGCCAGTATGGTTCACAACGATCTTCCCAGCTCTGTTATCATCAATGATTTCAAATTCACCAATGTAACCATACTTCATCATCACAGTCAGAAACCTGATGATGACTTTGGAGTATGGCCTGGTTAAGAATCTAGCGTTAGCCTCTCTTCTCGGCACTGTTGATGCTGTTGAGAGCATCAGCCAGGATGTTCATGTGCACCATCGCAGCGGCACAGAAAGATGGTGAAAAGAGGAGGGAGGAGCGAGAGCATGGAGTTATCTTACATAACTACTTGATAGATTTCACCAGTGAAGACATCTGGATCTTGGCTCCTCTGGGTGAATTTTTAATCACCAATTTAAGTACTGATCTGTTGAAATTTCTATTTATCCTTGAACCAGTTTCAGTGATTTGTATTGTTCATCTAAGTTCTCTAAGTTTTTAAATATGTTGAGATAAATTTATTGATAATATTTATTTCCTTAAGATTTTTTTAATTTTTGAGGGTTGGTAGTGATATACCATATTTTATTCTTAAATTTACTAATTTGTATCTTCTTTTTAAAAAATATTTGTTTTACTTGAAAGCCAAGGTGACACAAAGAGAGGGAAAGACAGAGAAATAGTCTTCCATCTGTTGGCTCACACCCTAAATGGCCACAATAGCACGGGTTAGGACAGGCCAAAGCCAGGAGACAGGAACTCCATCCATGTCTCAAATGTGGGTAGCATAAGCCTAAGTACTTGGATCAAGTACTTACACCTGCTGCTTCCCAGGTGTATTAGCAGGAAGCTGGATCAGAAGCAGAGGAACCAGGACTCAAACTGGCACAACCATATGGGATGCAGGCATCTGAATATCTGTACCTCTTTTTTCTTTTTTCTTAATCAGACTAAAAAGAAGATCAACACAGCATATATAGCTTGGTGGCCAGCCAAAGATTGCCAGTGTTGTACTCAAACACATTTCACTATCACCCTGCTGACAAATACATCTGTAGAAGAGGAGCACATTCAAGTTTCAGGCATTTAGAATCTGACCCAGTTTTTAATTTAAATTATGTACTTAAAGTTTTTGCTGTACATATTCATGGCCTCCTATTCAATCAGTGATGGCTGAAGGTCTTATGTAGCACTTCTATAACTCTCTATAGCAGGACTTACCTGTTAAATTCCTGCTAGTTCACAGTTTTGGTGCTCAACCCTACCAGGACTATAACCTCTGGTTTGTACTATAGAGTTACGAATTTCATTACTCTTCCTACAAAGATAGCTACTATTACTAGCAATACTGCTGGAAATGGAATTTCTGCCCACCACTCCAAATCAAATCAGCCCCAAGAACCTCAAAGCTGCTAGTTTTATGACTAGCCCACTGAGATAGAACCATCATGCTAACTGATCAAAGAACTGGATGGCAATAGCATCTGAAACAATGGCGAGGTTTCCCCTGCTCTCACTGCAGTTTCAGTGACTTCTGCATTACAAAAGGAACATTCAGCAACATGAAGAGGCAATCCACAGAATGGGAGGAAATATTTGCAAACTACACAACTGATAAAGGGTTAACATCCAAAATCTTTAACAAGCTCAAGAAATTCTCCAACAACAAAACAAAAAACCCAGTTAAGAAATAGGCAAAGGACTTAAACAGGCAGTTTTCAAGAAAGGAAATTCAAATGGCCAACAGACACTTGGGAAAAATGCTCAGGATCAATAGCCATCAGGGAAAAACAGATCATAAACACAATGATGTTTCACCACACCCCAGTTAGAATGGCTCTCATACAGAAATCAACAAACAACAAATGCTGGTGAGGATGTGGGGAAAAAAGAACCCTAATCCACTGTTGGTAAGAATGTAAACTGGTCCAGCCACTATGGAAGACAGTGTGGAAATACCTCAGAAATATAAATATAGACCTACCATATGATCCAGCCATCCCACTACTGGGAATTTACCTGAACCAAAATAAATCAGCATATCAAAAGTGATCTGTATCCTCATGTTCGTTACAGCTCAATTCACAATGGCTAAGATATGGAATTAACCCAGTAGCATCAACTAAAGACTGGATAAAGAAATTATGGTACATATACACTATGGAATACTATACAGTGGTAAAAAATTGAAATCCTCTCATTTGCCCCAATTGGCCACAACCACCAAAGCTGTGCCAATCCAACGCCAGGAGCTTCCTCCAGGTCTCCCACATGGGTGTAGGGGCCCAAGGACCTGGGCCATCTTCCACTGCCCTCCCAGGCCATAGCAGAGAGCTGGATCACAAGTGGAACAGCCAGGTCTCAAACCAGTGCCCATATGGGATGCCAGCACTTCAGGCCAGGGTGTTAACCTGTTGCACCACAGCGCCAGCCCCAGGGCCAGGTGCCCTTAAAGTGATGGGACTAGCTGTATCATGGAGAAACAGAAAAATGTACGACAAACTGTTTTATCTACTCTGGAATTGCTGCCTTCCAACAATGTGAAGTAGGATATGGGTACATTAACAATGACTCTCTTTATGTTCAGGATGCAGTTTCATCTTGACGTCTCCCTGTGAAGCCAAGCTCTTGGTTTTAGACACACTGATGACATCCAAGAAAAATTCCTAGTTTATGAATACCTATTGAAAATTCCAGACCTACTGCTAAGATATTGGAGATGCTAAAATGTTTATTTGCCGAGGAAAAACTGAAGAGAATGAAGCACCTTGATAGCCAAGGTACAGATGGAGTGCCTCAGGTGATGAGTCGCATGTTTATTGTCCTTCTATGGTGAAGATGGAAGCCACACACACAGTACTGAGGCTCATTATGCTCTCCACTGGACTGCACTGGCAGCAAGGGGCTCTCGACATCCTATATGAGATTGTCTTCTGCAATGAAAGTCACTTTAGCAAAGCCAGGGATACACTTGTCAAGTTTTCAAGAGGTTCTGTAAAGACTTAAAGGGAGAAAACAAAGCTCCTCACTGCACAAAACCTCATTAGGCTTCAGACAAGTCATAAAAAGCTTTTTTTTTAATTAGACTTTTTGTGGTTGTTGACTGACTGTGGAATGTTTGTTTGCTTATATTTACATTTTTAAATCTCAGAACCATTCAAAAGAAAGCTATCTTTTGGGCTAGCTTTCTTGGAAGATATTTTGATTCATATAAACGAGATAAGTATTTTCTTTCAAGACAAGTCAGTGTGTTGTTTCTATGAAGTCTTAGACATAAAAAGAATGAAGTATTTAGGAAGAAACTTAACAAAGGAAATGAAAGACTTGTGTACTGAAAACCACAACATATTGGTTAAAAAAAAAGTAAAGATGACATAAATAAATGAAAATATATTCTTTGTTCATGGATTAAAAGACCTAATATTATTATTATTTTTTTTTTTTTTTGGACAGGCAGAGTGGACAGTGAGAGAGAGAGACAGAGAGAAAGGTCTTCCTTTGCCGTTGGTTCACCCTCCAATGGCCGCCTCGGCCAGCGTGCTGATCTGAAGCCAGGAGCCAGGTGCTTCTCCTCGTCTCCCATGGGGTGCAGGGCCCAAGCACTTGGGCCATCCTCCACTGCACTCCCTGGCCACAGCAGAGGGCTGGCCTGGAAGAGGGGCAACTGGGACAGAATCCGGCGCCCCGACCGGGACTAGAACCTGGTGTGCCGGCGCCACAGATGGAGGATTAGCTTATTGAGCCACAGCGCCGGACAAAATCTGTAGATTTAATGCTATCTCCATCAAAACTACATTGGCATTTTTTTACGAAAGTAGAAAAGATATCCTAAAATTCATATGAAACCAGAAAAGATGCAAATAGTCAAAGCAACACTGGAAAAAAAACAAAAGTAGAAGTATCACCCTTCCTGATTTCAAAATAAATTATAAAGCTGTAGTAATCAAAACAGTATGGTATTGGCATAAAGAGAGATATATAGACCAAAAAGAACAGAACAGAGACTAGAATTAAACTCAGCCATATATGATCTTCAAAAAGGTGGCAAAAAACACAAGAGGGAAAAGATAGTTCTTCAACAAATGGTAATTGGGAAATTGGATATTCATGTACAAAACAAAATGAAATTGAACACCTATCTTATACCATATACCAAAATAAATTCTAAATATATTAAAAACTTGAAATTTTAAAATTCTTAGAGGAAAACAAAAGTGAAAAGATTTTTTTACATTAGTTTTGAAGATGACTTCTTGTATACAACACCAAAGCTTAGGTAACAGAAACAAAGCTAGAAAAGTAGAACTATATCAAACTGAAAAGCTTCTATACAACAAAGGGAAAAATCAACAGAATAAAAAGGCAGCTTATTAAATGGAGGTTAATATTTCCACACCATGTATTTGATGTTCTGTAAATATCAGTTAGGTCCATTTGGCCTGCAGTATAGTTCAAGTCTGTGGTTTCCTTATTGACTTTTTGTCTGTATTTTCAGTCCATTGTTGAAAGTGGGATTTTGAAGTCTCCTACTACTAATGTATTGCTATTTCCTCTTTCATATCTGTCAATGTCTGCTTTAAAAATGTAAGTGTTCTGATAGGTGCATACACATATATAATTACCGTATCGTCCTAATGAATTGATCTTTTTGTCAGAATAGAGTGGCCTTCTTTGCTCCTTATAACAGTTATGAACTAAAAATCTACTTTGTTTAATACAAGAACAGCCATCCTCATCTTCCTTTGGCTACCACTAGCACAGAATATCCTATCCATTCTTTCACTTTCAAGTTGTATGCTTTTTAAACTCTAAAATGAGTTGCTTACAGATAGCACATAATTTGACCTGTTTTTGTCCATTCAGTGTCTTTCAGTTAGAGAGCTGATTACATTTATATTGATAGGTAAGGGCTTACTATTTTCATTTTGTTATTTTCTAATTTGAGGTTCTAATTTTTTGTCTAATTTGAGGTTCTCTTGTCTATTTTTATCTTGCTATTTACCTTTGTAATTTACCAGTCTTTTGTAGTGAAATGCTTTGATTCCTTTCTTTCTTTTGTGTACCTACCAGGAGTCTTTGTGTGTATGTGTGTTCTTATCATTGGATTAACACTTTATGCTGTTTTAAGCTGGTGCTGTTAACAATTTAAACTAAACTACATGCAAAAACTCTCTACCTTTACCCTCCCCAAACACTGTTAATAATGTTATATTGTATATCTTTTCAAAAGATTTATTTATTTATTTAAGGGAAGAGTTACACAGAGAGAGAAGAAGAGGCAGAGAAAGAGAGGTCTCGTGGTTCACTCCCCAGTTGGCCACAATGGCCAGGGCTGCACCAAATTGAAGCCAGGAGCCAGGAGCCTTCTCCAGGTCTCCCAGGTGGGTGCAGAGCCCCAAGGGCTT